GCGGCAGCACCAGGGCAACAGTGGCTGGACGAGGGGATGGGCCAGGATCGCTGCGGCTAGATTGTGGTCTTCCTTTCCACCCCCGCTGCAGAGGATTGGGAGGGCAGGTCACTGCCAGTCCTTTCTGCAACCAGATGGGGGCCAGACAATGGGGCCTGCCCCAGGACTGGGGCTGGGGACCAGATGCTGAGGCCAGATGAGAGCTGAGGCCTGATTACTGGCTGGGCTGCCGCAGATGAAGCTGCACTAAAACCTAAGGCTGGCTTCCACAGCTGGGGCCGGGTCACCGGGGCAGGAGCCAGGGCCGGTGCTCATGCTGGGCCGCCGGGGCTTGGCTGCAGGGTCTGCCCTAGGAGCATATCGGCTGGGGACAGACCGCAGTGGTCAGATGGAGGTCAGAGTTGGGCCGCCACAGGCAGATGAGGACAGCTGCCACAGCCAGCCCCTCTCACTGTCCTGGCTGCAGTGTGCCCCCAGCCGGCCCCTTTATACAAGCAGAGCGCCCCAGCTGGCTCTTGCTGGAGCACAGCCAGATCTTACCGGAGCAGTGCACCAGGATGCACCTCTGCCAGGGCCTGATGAAATGCATCCTAGAATACTCAAGGAGCTGATGGAGGAGGTATCCGAGCCACTAGCTATCATCTTTGAAAAGTCATGGAAGGCAGGAGAGATTCCAGAAGACTGGGCAAATATAGTGCCCAAATAAGGACAACCCAGAAAACTACAGACCAAATTAGCTTATTTGCTCCATTATTTTTCCTGGCATAGACGTAAAGGAATCCATCTGCAATGTCTAGAAGATAATAAGGTGATAAGTTATAGTCAGCATGGATTGGTCAAGAACAAATCATGTCAAACCAACCTGATGGCATTCTTTGATAGGATGACAAGCCTTGTGGATGAGGGAGAAGTGGTAGATGTGGTAGCTGGTGTAAACTAGATCAGTGTTTCTCAACAAGTAGTATGAGTACCCTTAGGGGTACTTGAGAAAAGTCCGGGGGGTTGTCAGCCGACGGTCAGGGCAGTGTGTGTGTGTGTTTCCAAGAAAAGGTTTAACATCCGTGTCTTTACTGCTAGGACTGGGGTCCCGTCGCAGAGGGTAGCCAGCAGGCCACTAGACGCCCCTTTATAGGAAGAGCTTATTACACCTCAGATTTTAGCTGCTAGGATGCAGAATCCCTTTGCAGCGGGCAGTCTGGGAAAGACTGAGAGATGCCCCAACGGATCTGTCACCTGGGAGTGACACAAATCCAAACGCCCAAGCTCTTCCTATACCCGTCCCTTATGACCAGCTGAAGTTCTTTTAAATTGTGCTTGGTTCTGTTACAGCAACTGAAGGAGTCAGGTTAAAAACTTAAACAGTTACAGGTTTATTAAAAAGACTTATAAAAGCATATGGTTACAATGGCTATTGCTCTATTTTTTAACTGCTAGCAAATATAGATTTAAAAAAAATAGTTACGAAGAAAATAAAGATAGAAAATAGAAATAA